ATGTATAATTACATAAATGTAATTATAATGCATAGTCTAGGGAGGGCGCGCACTCTCTAACCCTACCTAATCTACGCCGAACACCAATTCCTAACCCTAACCTAAGCACTAACTACAAACCGACTCCCGCTTCACTTATATAACATGCGAGTGATAGCTACCAAACAATACTTACGGTGTATAACACATAGAAACTGTATTGCAGGGGCGTCAGACTAAAGGTCCAAAAATCATTAATCAAAGGGTAAAATAGCATTTGTAAGCCCGTCTGATTAAAAACATGTCTGCGGGGGAGACCCCCAGAACCCCCTTCACACTTCCTACCTCCGGCACTGGTGCCGTGCGCCTGCGCATGCTACATGAAACAGCACGCATGCGCCAACAACTGCTCGGCAAATTAGCGCATACGAACAGCAGTGTCGTGCTCAGACGCATATGCCACGTCGATTGGACAAACTATCGACAGTCTTGGCTATAATGATAATTACCGGTTACTTATTAAACATACACAAGTGCCAGTTACATTCTAGATTCGTCAACATTGCATAATCAATGGACCTATTATGCCTTTCCAGTTATTGTAAAACTAATTTAATACTATAGTTAATACTGAACTACTAATAAGAAAAAAAAATATTAGGCCCTACTAGATACGCTATTACTATATTTAATATGGACGTGGAATATTCGTCGAGCATCGCGAACCTGTTCGTCATGCGCTATTCGTCCGAGCGTGGCTGCGCATGCGCTGTTCATCTTGTATTACAAAATGCTAAATATAATGCTAGTCTAGGAGTCGCGCCTACTCTCCAAACCTAACTCTAAAATATCTAACCACAATGTAAAACCTACCACTAATTATTTAACGCTTACCTAACTCTCAGTACTAAACGCGACAATTCTAAACCTTAACCACTATTATAACGACTCGGTTTTGCTTTAAAAGGCGAATGATAGCTACCCACAAAACTATCATATGGTAGTATAACCACATACGCAACGCATGTATCTAGGGGCGTCACAGCCCGTTAGGTGCGAGCAAAACGCAAGGCAAAAAGCCTAAAGGCCAAAATATACCCTAATATAACTATAATATAATAAAAATTTAAAGCGTCTAGATTTTAGAAATTGGCTGGAAAACCCCCCAGACCCCCCTTCACACTTCCTATCTCCGGCACTAGAGGCCGTGCGCCTGCGGCACGCAACATCAACAACTGCTCGGACGAATAGCGCATACAAACAGGTGTCCGATGCTCGGACGAATAGCGCATACAAACAGGTGTCCGATGCTCGGACGAATATCCACGTCGATTTAGTATTACTAATACTGTAATAGTAATACTACTAGTAGTAGTACTACTACTACTAGTAATACTAATACTAGTAATAGTAATGCTAATAGTATTAGTAATAATCTAATACAGTAATAGTAATAATAATTTAATATTAATAGTATTAGTAATAATACTAAATTTACTAATAGTAATACTAATAGTAATAATAGTAATACTATTACTAATAACTAATAATAATATTGAATGAACGTGAAGTTGAACTACCGAAGTCTCACACTAGAATTAGTATATATCTTACACTTGTACAGTTGTAGTAACTTTAAACTTTGCGATATTCATATAGTTAGAAACTTCGAAATATGGTTGCTCGTGTTTTAGAATGTTTTAGTGCACTTTGTAGTTGTTGTTTTCCTCGCATCCTTCGTTTACCTTCTTCGTCAACCATCTTTTCCTTGCGTTGAGAAGAGCCCCGTATTTAGACTTAGGAATAGTCTATGGAATAATCAAAATAATCTAACATATGGGACATTTTTACTAAATATAAAATAGGTTTCTAATGACTACTACCTAACATATGCTATTAATGTAAACATTTTGTGTCTAGTTAATTTTTATGATTATTTCATTTAAATGTTACTTAATAATTTTCGCTACTGAATGATGTTCTAGAAATATTTGACCCTAGTAGTGAGCGAAGCAGAGTGAAAATTTTCTGTCTTTACGTGCCCTTGGCCTTGGTCTTGTGTGTTTCCTCCAACAGTCTGTGTCTCGACCGAAGTAACAGCAAATATGTTTTCCAGAATTTCAGTGCAGGCACTGAGAACTTTCAGTTCAACGTCTCAAAGGTAAGGGTTTTGTAGTAAAGTAATAAGTAAAGCCCGGCACGTACGTAAAATTGGAATTCTAGACAGATTCAGTAATCAATGACAATGGGCCATCCCTCAGATTCCCTGCAGTGCCACTGGCACTGGCAGAAGAATGGCGACAGATTGAGATTATAAATTTTTTTAGAGCAGAATTTATTGGTCTAGCCTTTGTGACCAGCCGTGGATTAATTAATTGGTAACAAAATCGTATTTACAACGTTATCCTCTTTTATATTTATATGTAATATTTTGTATTAAAGGCATAATTCGACCATCGATTATGCAAAGTTGACGAATGCTACAGTAACTGGCACCTTGTGTAGTTTAACCTCGGGAGATTAAAATACTTCATAGGTGTTGAGTTTGACCAGGGCGACGGGTACATAAAGGTCAGTCAAAAGCGGTACCTAAACAAAGTACTAGAGAGATTTGATATGTTGAACTGCAAGCCACGCAGTACACCTGCAGAGCAGAAGCTAGAGAGTGACGAGGACGAGGAGGAGGTAGATTCCAAGTCCTATCGGGAAATCATAGGTAGCCTAGTGTATGCGACGGTCCTTACCAGACCTGATATTTGCTGGATTGTGACAAAGTTGTCGCAGTTTCTGTCCAAGCCACGCAGAAGTCACTGGACTGCAGCAAAGCATGTCCTGCGGTACCTGAAAGGTACATTAGATTACGAGTTGTGCTACAAGAAGTGCCCCAAATTGTGCCTGAAAGGTTTCAGTGATGCCGACTGGGGAAACGGAGAGGACAGAAGGAGTGTTACAGGCTATTGTTTCAGCATGGACCCTAAGGGGCCATTGATTTCGTGGAAGAGTCGGAAACAACCGACTGTTGCGCTCTCGACCTGTGAGGCCGAGTACATGGCTCTAGCAGCCAGCGTGCAAGAGGCACTGTACCTCAGGCAGTTGATCCAGAGCGTAGCTCCGGACATCCCGTGCGAGAAGGTCCTGATAAACGAGGACAACCAGGGGACCTCTCACTGCGTAGCCTCAGCGCGGCACTTCAGAAAAGTAAGGGCTGGGAGATATTTTTAAGGGCTAGTAGATTTTACAGGTCACTAGCCCTGCTGGCTAGTGAACATTTTAGGTTAGTTTCAAGCCCTGAAAAGCATAACATATATATCTTTTTCAACACTCACCGCTAGCCGATCCTTTGCGTGGGCATATCTAAACCTTTGTATGTAGTAGAAAACAAGCCAGGCGAGTGAAATGATCATAAGCACAATGAAAGAGATAGAGACAAACAGCACTGAGGTCTTGTTGATTGCCGAGTGCATGGGTGCACGCTTGCCAGGATACAGGTACAACATCACCCGAGTCCCATTGTCAATCAGATTTGCGATGTCTCTCCCTAGCTCCTGTGATATCAGTGCAGCGACAACTTGTTTGTCTGAAATCATGTGACGTAAGACATTTGCTACAGTTTCATTCGATGACACTTTACATATACTTAGCAGTGCAACAGTGTGAGACAAAGCACCCATAACCTATAGTTAAATGAAGAGCCCATAAACTAGTATTATTATTATTAAATCTTTATTGCATATAATTCAAACACAAATATCAGAATATGAAAACAGTCTTTTTCAGAGAAAAATATCTGATGGATGCAATAATAAAATTTCCAAGTAATACAACACAATACAACCCAACGATAAAAACATAATACAATAATGACATTACTTTCTGTATAAGTAAATTGATTAAGGTATAATATAAAACCATCTCTACACACATACGGACTAACACGCATGCGCCTACTCTCATACAAATCCACACCCATACTCCTAGGTACAATAATGTAACACAACAAGAGTAGGTTACTTAGAGTTAGAGGTAGTAGTATAAGTTACTATAGTTCATAGGCTTTCGATAGAATACCATCACTGGTGGGAATGAGATTTAGAACTACAGCCTCTTCCTACGGTTGTGTACTACTTACAGTTGTGTGTCATTGTCTTCATCGCGTCCCTGCCGCCGTCGTCGTTGTACACGAGCACAGCGCTGGCGTTGCTCCGCACAGCAGCATTGCGGATCTTCTCGCTGAAGTTGCAGATGCCACGCTGTATGAGTGCGATCCAGGGCTCGCTCCTCGCAATGCTTGGCTGCAGCGGATCACACGCGTCCGTTCTGTTGCTGACCGTCAGCGCATGCACGCCGATTCCGCTCACAGCGCTAACCTTGTTCTCACCATAATAACCGTCTCTGTCGCTCTTGTACGACACCAGGTGACCCGTCTGCGGGTCTATGTAGGTGACGTTTAACACTACTCGGACAGTGTAGCCTTCCAGGGGGTAATCTAAATCGGTTTCGCAGAGCACACAGTGTAGGATCTTCAGTAATGCGTTCAAGTACAGGAACATGAAAATGTGTTTCCAGAAGAACGAATGCATGTTGGCTGGCACCTACACTGCTGTCATTTTAACAGCTACTAGTCAGGTAGACTTCTGTCCATACTTGTTATCAGAAATCACTGGAACATCTTGGGATATTGTTACTTATTGCATCCAAATCTAAAACAGAACCAAAACACAACAAACAAATTATAAAGGATGACCAACGTTAAAAAATTGCACTATTACACTTCTCGAGTGAATGGTAGTAAACTACAGAAGAGCTCATTTCAAATAAAAAAAAGTCTTGGCACTTAGTTTGTGCAATACCCTACACATACTATCAGGAGTAAGATAATATAGAATCTATATTATCTAGAATCTATATTATCTAGAATCTATATTATCTAGAATCTATATTATCTAGAATCTATATTATCTAGAATCTATATTATCTTACTCATGATACTATCTATTTCTGCACATAACTCATGATACATCACACATGAGCATCACACAAAGATTTGAACATGGAGACCTTTCAGTTTCAGCATAATAAGGAACCTAAACAGTACTGATGCATGTGACCGGGTTTAACTCTTGTACAAACAGACTTACAGCAATATACACAAGGGCACAGTGAACAAAATACACGGGGGTTCGGGGCGATTTAGCCCCGGAAATGCCAAAAAGAGCCCCGGAAATGCCAAAAAGAGACCCCGTAAATTTGCATAGAGTTCAATGCAAACCAAATTTTAGAGTGCTATTTTCATGCACGCGAGCTTGAAAAGTAGCCCCCGAAAAATAAATTATATTTTTTCCCTGCAAGGGCACTTCTCTGCCAATCACACCAGCCCATACACTGATATGCCCTCTGAGGCTCTCTGAGATGCACATTGCTTTACATGGACCATCATAACATTTTAAAACAAATCACACCGGTGGACTGGTGCTGACACTCTAGTCCATGCAACGGTACAGATATGTCGATTAATTCGATTATGTTTATAGATATCAAACAAAACTTATATATATTGTGTTAGTATGATAATAGCAGGAGCAGGAGCTAATAATGACAAAGGAGTAAGACAGCGATTTGGTACTGATTTCACTACATTTTTATCGTACGAGTTCATTATTGTCATTATTAGCTCCTGATAATAGTACTATGATTATCTCTCGATATTAGGTATAAATATTTCTGATTTGTTTTGATATGCTGATCAAAATATTCATAACAAACCGCACCGGCGGTGTTTACAAACAGTGACTCGGTTCTAGTACTGTTGTAAAACTGTTTAATAAATTGAATAAGATATACTGAATATAATATACATTATATCAGGAGTGTATCAAAAGGAGTAAGACAGACTAAAACCGGCAAAATTCAACATTTAGTAGCCTTAGTCTACCTATGATTTATTGTGTTTACCTCGATAAACTTGAGCTCAAGTATTGCCTTAATCATTAAACTTTATCCGTGTCTAATCGTTGGTCTCATAAAAATGACAAATCGGGAGATATC